CCCCCGGCCTTGAGGTTGACCTGGATTGGCAGACGACCTGTTCCTCGCCTCTGCCCCCATGTCCCTGGGAGCTGAGTCAGGGCCCCTGCGCCTTCGGATGAGATGAGGCCACCGTGCACCTTCCTGCCTGGAACTGTCGCCCAAGTCTTCTACTGGGGCCTGCACCAGCCGTTCCCGCCTCCCACACCCGTCTCTCCCCCAGACATCCTGGACCTCTGCGTTGGAATCGGGCAGGAGTGGAAGGGGTGAGGAGGAAGAGCAAGGGGGACTTCCAGAGGCCTGCAAGGGGCAATCCTGAAACTCTGGTGGTGGGTGGATGGTGGCAGGAGAGTGGCATCTTCCCAAGCTCCTGTCCACCCCTCCCACACCTACAGCTTGCGGGGGAGGGCCTCCATTCCAAAAATCCTTTTGCTTGCCCAGGGAGTTCTGAGAGCTGTAGTCCTTCATAACATGATTTGGGGGCTCCCAAGTTGTTTGTGAGATTGGAAGTCTTAGCTTTGCCCAGCTTCTTGGATGGGAATGGTGAGGAACATCCACCCCCCCGTTTAGATCTCTGGGGCTACATGGGTTGTTCTGGGAAGACCTCTGGCCACCCTTCCCCGCCCCCTACAGCCTCAGGGCCATCCTACAGTAATATACAATGCCCAGACATGAAAGACAAGGCACATAGTTTAGGAAACCGTTTTAATAAAAGGAAATATTTTTGAAAATTACGAACTACCCCTGGGTGTACCTTTATTAGGCCCCTAACTCTTCTGTTGCTACCCCCATTTCTTAGATGAACTAGGAGGTTCCCCTTCCAATTGGGGTTTGATGCCTTTCTTTTTGTTGGTAAGGCTTTGATGTTCCTTGCAGTGTCATTTCCCATCCACATTTCCCAACCTGCCACCAGACCTGATGTGTAACCTACTGAGAAGAAAGAGAAATAAGTGGGCCCTCCTCACCTATTCCTAGTGGTCTCTCTGTGTCCTTTTCATCTTTTGCCTCTTTCACCCCCAACCTTCTCTCTTGGGCTCTGAAGAAAAATTGTTGACTAGCTAGCTTTGGAAGTTTAGATCTGAAGTATTTCAGTTCTAGAAAATAAAAACTCTTTGATTACGTTAAACAAATCTCAGGTCTGTTTCTTTGGTTTCTGACAAATTGGCTCTTAAATGTAATGCTCTTGTTTTTCTATACATCCTATGTAAAAACAATTGTTTGTAATATACTGGGGTATTTTACTTTATTTCATTTCTTTTTTAATTCTCCCCTGAGGATATGTTTTTCTATTGATTTTAGAGAGAGAGAGGAAGGGAAGGGGTAGAGAGAGAAATATCAATCGGTTGCCTCCTGTATGAGTCCCTTCTGGGGACTGAACCCACAACCTAAGTATGTGCCCTGACCGAGAATCGAACCTGCAGCCTTTTGGTGTACAGGATGACGTTCCAACCAACTGAGCCTCCAGGCCAGGGTTATACAAGGATATTTTAGAATCACCCTTGATAAACCTTTGTTATCTTAAGATCTCTACTCCTTACTCCATCTATTGTAGTCACTGCTACTGATAAGAATGAATGGAAATAAGTCAACAAAATACTTGAATGATGACAAAATGAGACGATAACTGAGTTTCTAATATCCTATGTACTTTGCTAAACGGTAGATCTGGTGAATAAAGGTAAGAGGATTGGACCTTCATTTAGTTGTTGCTTTTCCAGATTTTATCAATAGTCTTCATATAACACTTTTTACATGAAAAAACTAATAAATTTATATTTCCAGTTCTTAAAATATGTAGTATCTGCAGGATATTTTCTCTTTGCAGTGGCTTTGTGTGAATACTGGGGATATTTCAATATACTTAATGATAATCACACACTGGGTTCCAGTTTCTGTATTCATCAACACTGCATGCATGCAGAGGCTTAGTAAATATTCGACTCCTTCTCACAGAACATGCCAGGCCATGCCTAACCAGCAGGATTGGCAACTGAAAACGGTCCTATTCCCCCATCTCTGTATAAGATGGAATTATTTTACTCCAAGGCCTACAAATCAGATGATTCCTTGTTTTTCAACTACTGCTATTGCATTCTAGGTGTTACTATTTAATGGCCGTTTGTCATTTAGTCTGTAATAATCTGGCAAGACAGGCATTAGTACTCACATTTCGCACTGGAAACAGCTCTGGTTCAGAGAAGCTAAGTGGCTTTTCTTGCACTTCACAGAACACTCAGGATTCAAATACAGATTTTCTTGGGCCAAGCTAAACTTTGTTCCCTGAATTGCACATTCAAAGAAGTGCTAACCATGAAATCAGAAGTTTAAAACATTGCTATTTCAGCATTAGTAACAAATGCATAATTATGAGAGTACTTTGTATTTAGTCTCTAAATTGAGCCGGGCCATATAATATGTTCTACATGTCTTTATTAATACAAGTTCCCAATTAAGTACCTACTGTTATCTCTATTTTAAAGCTGCGGGAGCTGAAATTCAGTGGTGTTAAGTAATCCCAAGGTTGGACAATAGTAAATAAACCAAGATTCAAAGACAGGTCTTTCTCATTCTAAATCATAGGTGCTTTGTTTTATTATTGTATTGCTTCCCACTGAATAAAATGGGAGTACTGATTCTCCTTGACTATTCTGAAGTAAAAATTTAGAAATTTGTATAGCAAAGACTATATTAACAAACACTGCTAGTAGGTATGTGAAATAAAAACCATTTGAAGCAACTGACAATTGTTTTGTCATTAAATGACTTGGCGAAATGATGAGGGCAATTGCACATCAGTATTTTTCAAAAAGTATGTGACTATAGGAAGTCTGAATATGGATTGGTATATTTGCCATAGGCAAGCACATGATTTTGATAAGGTTTTTATGGAGGCACATCTTCTGAAATGATTCAATAAACTGAAAGAAAATGAAATTACTACCATTTTTTCTTTTTTGTTTTCATGTCAGGGATAGAAAAAGTTGTTTATTAGGGAGCATCATACACATTTGCCTTCTTGGTGACCATAATATGGCAATGAAAATGGTAATCGGAGTACTATAGTACATCTAGATGATATGCAGAAGTAACAAGCAAAATTAAAATCCACTAAAGAAAGGGAAACATGGGAAATTCTTTACTCAGCCCTCTTCTTCTAGGCAGTAGACACTATTTTTATGCTTTGGTGGCCATGAGATGTTTTTGTGTCGACTAAAAAAGAAGCTGTTTTCTAAAATTTCTTTGGTTGTCTAAAATTCCCCATAATTCACCCTGCCGGCGTGGCTCAGTGGTTTGAGCATCAACCTATGTTGCAGGAGATCGCAGTTTGATTCTTGATCAGGGCACATGCCCGGGTTGTGGGCTCATCCCTGTTGGGGGGCGTGCAGGAGGCAGCCGATCAATGACTTTCTCATCATCGATGTTTCTCTCTCTCTCTCTCTCTCTGTCTCTCTCTGTCTCTCTCTCTCTCTCCAGTCAATAAAGACATATTAAAAAAAAAAATTCCTCATAATTCCAATGCTGTCCTTTGTTGTATTCTGAGAAGCATTTGCCTCAGTGAAAAAATTACTGATCAATAATTAGTTATCTTACTGAACAGAGAGCACTGCTCAGCCTTTTGCTGATGCTATGTTGTGGGTATTCAAATGTGTTCATGAGTGTTTGGAAGATCTTGTTTAAGCGTTCCATGTAAATGTGTGCTCATCACATTGTCAATGCTTTGCAGACATATTTAACATCTGGTTTCTGTAAGGCTTTCGAAGTAGTTGATACTGCACACAAACATCACTGATTTCATCACTTTGGCAAGGGACTAAGATGCCACTGAGGGTTGTAAATTTTGTTTCTTTAAGTTCTCACCAGTTCTGCAAATTCTTGTCAAAGGTGTGAATTCTTCTTTGTGGCTCATACCTCCATTTATGTTTCCTGAAAATATAGTAGATATTAAAGGTATATAGGGCATTTTCTATTCAGTTCATTGTCGACACTCTTGTCAAAAAAACTTCTGCTACACATGCTACACACACATGCTGCTCTTTGTATTTAGAAAGAACTGCCTCTCTTCTGGGCCTGGCCAAGTACTCAAGGTGCGAGTCAGCCCCGTGTGT